GCCCCGCCCACGGCCCACCTGGAGCTGCTTTGGGTTCTCTCTCTGCCGCTAAGCCCAGATGGGCAGGGCTGATGGGAGACCTCAGAGGGTGGGGCCTCGGTTGGCTTCAGGGGGACACAGGGAAGGAGGGGATCTGGGAGCCCGGCCCCCACCCCCCGCATGGGGCCTGGGAAGTGACCAGGCCTCGCTGCCCCTCCGCCCTCGGCTGTGACTATGACACTGCACATCCGAATGAGCTCAGGGTGGGAGCAGACGCCCTGCAGACCTCCTGGCCCCCGCCTGTCCCTGCAGAGCGGAAAGCCCTGTGAGCCTGACCGTTTGTTGTGCTGGCCGAGGGCAGGGCCCCGGGTCTCCTGGCATGGTGCCCGGCATGGGGGGCCGTGAGCAGCTGCTCACCAGCCTCATCTCTGGGGTCTGGTCGAGCCTCTCTCTGAGCCCAAAGGCCTGTGTCACTGGGAGCATTTGGGCACCCTGGGGGGGGGGGGGGGGGCTGTCCCTGCAGAAGCTGAGATGGTCCAGGGGGCGTGAGAACAGGACCCCGGCACAGGGTCCCCGACACGGGGGTCACCTCGCAGTCTACGCCTTCATCTCCCTCCCACTCCCTCCTCCTGCGTGACTCAGGGGGTCCCAGAGGGAGTCTAGTCCTGGGTGGTGGCCGCACCACGGGACGGCCCAGTTGTACAGGGAATCGGTGCTTTGTTTCGGGAGGGCACCACCTCCCGGTCCTCCCTCGCCCACGGGGCCAGGTGTGGAGCCGAGATGAGGGACTCCTGCCCCGAGCCAGAGCCCAGCTACGTGGACAGAGCAGCCCCCCTCCAGGCAAGGCTGGGGAGCCCCTGCTCCTCTTGGGGACCCTCAGGGCCATGGGCACACGCCTGCCAGGCTCAGGGAGCAAGTGAGGTCCGGCCAACTGGAGCGAGGCTCAGGCCTGTCCCGTCGGCCATGCTGGGTGCCCTGGGAGGCCAGGTCACCTCTCTGAGCCCCGTCCCCTTGTGTAACGAAGGTCCTGACACTCCGATCCTCACAGGTGCTGGTGAACAAGCAATGAGCTGGTCAGTGCAGGGTGCTGGGTGCTGTGCCCGGCATGTGAGCGCTTAATCCACGTCAGTTTTAAAATGTATCTATATATATGAAAGGCTAAGTGACCGTCTGACCAGTAGCTATGACACGCACTGACCACCAGGGGGCAGACACTCCGCGCCAAGCTGTGGTGACTTGGCAGCGGCGGTTCTCGAGTGACGCACCCCGGAACCAGAGAGGAGGGAGTCCAATTCTGGGGTGCGTAACCCGAGAACCGCCCTCTCGCAATCCGGGACCCCTCAAGGGATGTTGGAGGGCCGGTTTCGGCCTGATCCCCACAGGCCAGGCCGAGGGACCCCACCTGCTGGAGGGACCCCACTCACTCCACAGATGCCCTTCGAGCCCCAGTGCCGCCCCAGGTGCAGCCGGCCGAGGAGGGACCATGGGAGGTTGGCTCCAGGGTGTGTCCAGCCCATCTCATCCAGTCCAGCTCCACCGGCCACCTTCGAATTAATTTCCTTTCAATGTGCACAAATCTGTGCACCAGGGGACTAGGATATAGAGGCCCAGTGCTAGGGTTTGTGCATGGGTAGGGTCCCTTGGCCTGGCCAGTGATCAGACCAATAGGGGCTGTGGGAGGTTGGCTGGCCAGGGGCAGAGGCCATGGGAGGTTCGGCCAGCCAGTGGGGAGGGACCGTGGGAGGTTGGCCGGCCGAGGGAGGTTGGCTGTGGGAGTGCACTGACCACCAGGGGGCAGCTCCTGGTGGTCAGTGCACATGATAGCGACTGGCCGCTCGGTCACTTAGGCTTTTATATCTATAGATATGTGTTTTTATTAATTTTAGAGGGAAGGGAGCAGGAGAGAAATAGGAACATTGATGAGAGAGAATCATTGATCAGCTGCCTCCTGCACGTCCCCTACTGGGGATGGAGCCCTCAACCCGGGCTTGTGCCCTGACTGGGAATCGAACCCGTTACCTATTGGCGCCTGGGACGACGGCTCAACCGCTGAGCCACAATGGCTGGGCCTGTGTCGGGTTGTTTTGTTTGTTCATCCTCACCTGTGGATATTTTTCCATTGACTTTCAGAGAGAGTGGGAGGGAGGGGGAGAGACAGAGAGAGAGAAACATCGATGTGAGGGAGACACATCAACCGGTTGCCTCCTGCACGAACCCTGATCAGGCCTAGCGGTTAAGCCTGCAACGGAGGTACGTGCCCTCGACTGGGAATCGAACCCACAACTCTTCAGCGCTCACGCCAACACACTAACCACCGAGCAGCACCGGCCAGGGCCCAGGGAGAGACTTTTACTTGGATGAACAAGAACCAAGAACAGGAACCTGCCAGGAACCTCAGCAGACACCACACCTCTGGAGAAACGGGGGCCCATTCCCACTCAAGTTGGGGGCCCAGGGCTGCCCACCAGGGGGGTGTCCGGCCAGGGCACTGACACAGGAGAGAGCGGCGAGCGAGCGCTGCATCAGCGAGAAACGGGCTCTAACTGTGCAGCCGGCACCATCATTCACCAGAAAACCCAAGAGAATCCACCGAGACACCATTAGAACTAATGAGAGCATCTGACAGTGTGGCCGAGCCGGAGCCTCGTTCACGGAGGGCCCAGCCCGCTCCAGGCAGCGTGGGAGCAGGAGCCCACGCCAACTCGGACATCCCGGGAGACCACCCGGCGCTCCCGGCGGGAACCCGGCACTGGCGGAGGCGAGCCCGTTCCAGGGGCTGCAGACCGTGTTCATCAGCGCCGTCAACACACGGCCGTCGCCCCAGAACCTGACAAACCATTTCCAAAATTCGTGTTGAAGAGTCAACATCGGCAAGAACAGTGCAGGTGGGTGTGAGCAAACCAGGAGGGGCTGGCCTCTGCCGTGGGGACGGACTTGTGGCCACAGCCGTGCAAACCTGGGGGAGGGGAAGGGGCAAGAAAGGGCGCAGGGAGGGGCACTGAGGACGTCAGAGGGGGCAGTGGGGGGACTCGTCAGCAACATGTCCTGCGGGCTGATACACAGGGGCTCACAGGTCCCAGTGGTGGGGACAGCACCCCGTTTGCTGATGGGGAAATGGAGGCACAGGGAGGGGAGTGACCGGCCTGGCCTCCGCCGGCAGCACCTGGACCAGGTGGCCTTCTGTGAGCTAAAATAAGACCCACCACAGCCCCAGAGTGGGGGACAGCCCAGTGGAGAGACAGGAACAGCGATGGACGGGAGGGCGCGTCTGCAGGGGCGGTCAGGGCCCCCCACAACACCGCCGGTCTGGCGGGAAAGACAGTGGCAGCAAAAGATGGGCGAGGGCAGCTTTGGGGAGAATGGAAACATAAGCCACCATTTACGTGACAGGCTCCCACCTCCCTGGCCAGCACGGAGCAGAGCCAAGGGTGGCCCCCACCATGCAGCACGCCTGCCCTGAGAGCCGCGTACCCACTCGCGCAACAGCGGCTTCGGGCCCACAGTCTCCGCCGGGACCCTGTCTCTGTGCAGGAGGCAGGGCCCACCAGCCGTGGTAAGGCCGCACCCCGCCCAGACGGCCGTTCACCCCGGACAGTGCCGCCATGAACCAGCAGGTCCCTGGGGCTGTGGGCGCGTCCATAAACGCAGGACAACCCCAAACACAGCTCTGCCCGGAAGGAACGCCAGCCAGCGGGGCTTCTCTGGGCCACCGGCTCGCGGACAAGGCACAGACAGTCCCCTCGGCTCCGGGACCTCAGTTCGGAGGGCAGTGGGGGGTTAAAGGGCACGTCTCAGTCACGGTGCCACACGGAGACCGACGGTGTGTGACTTGTGTTACGGGATGTCCCTGGCGGGCCTAGGGAGGAGGGCCTGCTCCTCAGCCTGACAGGTGGCGTCCTGAGAAAGTGTCCCCCAAACTCCTTCCAGGGGCCCAGGTTGTGTGTAACGTTCAGACTGACTGTCCAGGACCCGGCGTGTGACTGAGGGACACCCCCTTTGGCTGCGGGACCAGTCCCTCTCCCAAGATGCATTCTCGAATCGTTCACTCTCGGGTCAAATTTCCCAAGGAGTCTGGAGAGCCATGACTGACAGAGGAACGGGGGTGAGAGGGTGTGCACGTGTGTGCATGTGCCCATGTGCATGTGTGCACATGAGTGTGCGTGCACATACATGGGGTGTGCACGTGTGTGCATGTGCCCATGTGTATGTGTGCACATGAGTGTGCGTGCACATAGATGGGGTGTGCACGTGTGTGCGTGTGCAGTGGGCATTGTGGGCCGTGCACACGTGTGTGCATGTGCACAGCTCACCCGTCCTGCCCAGCGTCCAGAAGAGTCCCGAGGACACGGCCGGGCACTGCGGTGGGGGCGGTCTCCTGCTGGGCCCGGCGCCCCGGCAAGCGGGAAGCTGCCGACAGCCCCTCTCCCACGGCACAGAGCGAGGCGCCTCCTCTCCACGTAATTCCAGAGCCTCAGCGGGCGAGGTGTCTCCGGGAAGGGCGTTGGCACTCACACCACCTCAGAGAGGCAACAGGTCCCAGGGGGAAGCTCAGACGCATCGCCGAGCGGATTCAAACTGCACTCATGAAAACTGATGCTTCCAGCAGCTTCCGCGGGCGCTGAGCTGGCCCAGAGAACGGGGGAAGGGCAGCAGCGGTGTAAAAAAAGGACCACTCAGTGTGCGCTGGCGGGGTCAGGTCCAGGTCACGGGGCCAGCGCTCACCCCTGGGTGCCTGGGACCCTCGTCCCGTCCGTCCTGAGGCTGAAGCTGCCTGAGTGCCCACCCCCTGGCCAGACACACGGTAGCTGCTCAGAGGTGCCTAGTGACCGAACACAGGCCTAAGCCGAGCTGCTGGGCACGCTGACCCCGAGCCGGGGCCAGTGTCCGGGGGGCCCTGGGGAGCCTGCCAGGCAGAGGTGGGGACACTGTTCCCTCGGCCGCAGCAGCGTGCCGGGCTGCACCTGGAGAAGGAGAGCTGTCCCCTGGCAGGGGGGCCTGTCCCTGAGCAGGAGGGGTGACCCACAGGGACAGCCTGCTCTCCCAGCATGCACTCCTCCCCAGGCTGTCCCCCCTGCACCCCCGCCGGTGCCAGGCAGTGCTGTCCTGAAGAAGGACCACTCGACCCTTGGCACGTGGCTGGAAACGCTCCCTCCGGGCCTGGTCCCCACAGAAACCTCTCCGCCTGCCCGTCACACACGGAACTCGAGTCCCGCAGGACGAGCGGTCACGTCGGCCCCGGCCTCACACCCAGGCTGCCCGCCTGTCAGGCACCCTTGCCACCACCTCTGGCCTCAGAACAGCCCAGCCAAGCGGGACCCAGGGACAGGGCTCCACCCAGCTGGGGTCCGGGGCACAGGGCAGGGGCAGGCTGTGGTCACCTGGAGGCTGGCTCCTGGCACAGGGCAGGGGAGAGAGGCAGCGCCCGCCTGGGCTGTCCCCCCTCCTCCTGGCCCCTCCCGAGCGCTGTACCCTCTGGGCCCGTCACTTGGAGGTGCAGGATCCGGGGACACCCCCCCGGACAGAGCACGGCTGGCCCCCAGGCCACTAGGAAGCCCCTGTCAGCTCACCCTCTCCCCGCGATGGGCAAATGGAGGGGGAGGGGGGGAAGAGAAGTCACCGGATGAAAATCAGCGGCTGGAGACCATGACCCCGCCCTCTCCCTGACCCCCACCCCAATCAGGGCTCCTCCTGGGAAAAGACGCCCTTGAAACCCCGCTTCTATGTGGGGTACCCTTGCCCCTGCCCCCTGGGCACAGCCCTGCCACCCCCACGCG